GGGGGAGGGAAGGGGCGGGGATTCAGATACACGCTTACAGTTAATCGATCCTTTCCCACGGTAGACGCGGAGCGTGCGAGAGGTTCTTCTACGCGCACAGGACAGGCCGCTGTAGCGTGATGTCAGTTGCTGTTGCTAGTAAGCACTGATCCAGTCGCTTAGGATGATTATGTGGGGCCTTGTAAATCACACGGAAGGCTTCGTTGGGATCCACATGATACCCAGAATCAACCATATGTGCGAAGATGGAGCTGTGTATGCTCTCAACACCACCTTTCCTCAGCCATGCCGGCAGGTGTTCTAGTATTCTTGTGGATAGGCGCCGACTCGTACGATCAATATGGCCTGCTCCACAGGAACAAGTAAAGGAGTAAATGCGCTGGGTCAAGACTGAATCAGCAACACTAGAAGCGACTACCATCAGGCAACAGAGGCCAGCCCTTTGCGCATAGATGAACCTCTCACACCCTCCGTGTCTACCGTGGGCAAGGATAGATTAACTGTATGCAGGTCTCCGCGCCCCCGTCCCCCCTCCTCCCCCTCGTGACACTATTCTACCTAACCCTCACTGTCACTCACTGCTCTCCCCCCCCTCTATTTACATACCCCGTTTGTATGAAAAGACGAACCTTGGTGGATTGCTCTTAGCGTTCAGGCCCGATGAGAATTTATCGAAAGCACGCGTATGCTCGCCAAATCTTCTTCTGAATTGATTACTGTGAATTTTCGCAACTTTGGAAACAGAACTACCGGTTGTGGGGACACACCAGGCCCCGGATACCCTCATCTGGTTTAGCCACCCAGTGGGGGAGGTTACCGGGGTGTGGCAGAGGCACTAGCAACCTGGGGGGTGGATGTGGGGCGGGGAGGGGTAGGGATGAAAGATTTGATTTCGTGTTGTTTCGGCAATGAGTTTTGCGTCTACAGGCCACGTTGCATTTGCAGACGGTGTGATTTCCCAGCATTTGTTTAGAGCAAATTGTCTAGTCACTTGCCCGACTAGAGGGTAAGCGGTGTTATCCTCCCATCATCTCAAGCCGCTGTTGGATGACTTTTGTTTAGTGTAAAAACGAACTGAGTTAGCGGAGACCACCGATGAGATCGCTGTTGTTCACTCAATAGGACTTGTTTAGGTTCTGGGAGCGAATGGGACGAGAAATAGAACTATCGGGCGTGGACCAAACATAAATCACGCACGCCCGCGTACGTGATACCCTCATGGGGATCAGTTTACCGGTCGAGTCAGCTACGGGATGTGGCAACTAGGCAGAATCAAGCTTCGACGAGCCACAGATGAGAAGTGGGTGACGGTTAGGGTTCGTGTGAAGCAAGCATCACATGCACGAGGCGTGTGGAGGGACCTGTTGTTCCTCCAATGTAGTTGCTCCACCGTCGTTGCGGACGATGTCCACCGTGTGCTCCACAGGAGGGCTAACCAGGAACGGTGGCTTTCATGTGAATTAGTTTATAGTGGTAGTAGAATTGCGCTGAATCTTCCGCACTCTCTCCTCCTACCCCTTCTGGGCCCGATGTTAAGACAGAGTCAAGAAGGCCGGAGGCAGAGTAGGGCGCAGGTGAATGGCACGGTCGAGCTCGCGCCTTGGCGCTCCACTCCGCACTCCCTGGTCCACACAACAAATGACCAGGATTTTAACCAACAACAGAGGGGACCTGGCGCGACGGAGGCCGTACCAAGGCGTGCCGTCACACCTGGCTCGGATCGCACGGAGTGGGAATGCCATAAAGACCACATTCAGAAGGAGCCATTGTAGTCCGACTCTCGGACTACCAGTCGGCCGCTCCCCACAAATACACAACACTGGGCCGACCGCGAGGTCCAAGTTATCCCGTCAGTTGGCAACCTTCCAAGCCACGGCTTTCAGCGCACCGGGATAGCATCAAGCGCGTCAAATTGTTTATAGTGAGGAAAGTGCGCTGAGTCGTCGAACTCACTCTCCCTTTCCATTTGCAGGGCCTGTCACTGTCCGAGCTGGTCAGTTGACTGGTACGGTGGCTGACATATCCAATGACCTTGTCTGCGCGCCATGCGCACGACCTGACTCCCAAACAGAGGCGCCAGGATTTCACACAAGGGGGTTGGGCGGCATGCATCTCACGCGCATGAGTGTGCCACTGGTCCCGTTAGGAAGGAGCGCTTCGGACCGCTCTACAACTGCTCGCACCGCTAAGATTCGAGACAGTTTGTTTATCTGTACAGATCTGACGCTTTTCCGATTATTTGTTCACTTTATGACACCTTTTCGAGTTTTTAAGATTTCGCAGTTGCATGTACACAAATAGGGAGTTCAAAGGTGAAGACCTACATTTCCCCCAATAAAGTGAACTGAACTGGCTGTCGGAGCACCAGCCCGCCACTCTAAACAGACACATACAACTGGGCAGACTGAGTAAGCTGAGCTGGGGCGTCAGTCAGCAGCCTTTCAAGCCACGGCGATTGCTGCACCATGATAGTCTCTGACTCGAATCACATTTGCAGCCGATGGGCCGTATGGAGACGGAGCCGAGACGCACACTCCCCATTTGCATGGAAGATGGCAGTTGGATGCTTGTGGTGGATGATGTTGTGTGGTGCAGGTGCTGGTGGGGGAAAGTGCGATGGTGTGTTAGAACCGGCAGTTGTCCACCGCAGGTTCTCATGAATGCTCGTGTGACCTAGTGGGCCCATGCGGTGGGTGAATATACAGGGATAGTGGGGGCAGTCGAGGCGGATGCGGCGAGGGTAGGTGGGTGCTCGAGACACTGGTTCGCCAGTATCTGTGCGATGAATTCGCAAGTCACCTGTCAGGCCGATGTGCGAGGTGGAGATGCGATCGTAATGAGGACAGGTATGGACCGAGTTCACATCGCTGGTTTTGACGGTAATGATGTTGGCATTTGCTGGTGCATCAAGATTGTGTGCAGTGATGGTAGATACAGAAGCCGCCGCAGTGGATGTTGAGGCGATAGAGGAGGATGGCAGTTGGGGTTCAGGAGTACAGCCAGTGTTGACTGCCGACGTGAGAGGCGAGGCAGATGTGGACGGGGGGACAGTGGGTGGTGTCGTCCGGATGATGCAGTTAATACGAAGATGTCCACTGAGTCCGATTGGTGTCCTGAGCGTCCGCTGGCATCGTAGGCAGGTCGGGGGCGGTCGTGCGTTGGCGGAGCACTGAGATTTGTGGGCTTGACGTTTGGCCTTTGTGGCGGTGATGCGGTTGGCTTAATGGATTGCTGCGCCTGTCTTCACTGTCCTCCTCCAGGTCAGTCAGTAACGGGCAGGATCTTTCCAAATGGTCGGGTTGAATTACAAGCGCTTCAGGGAGGTCTTCATAGTATCCTTGTAGCGCCGGACTTGACCTCCTTGTCGGCGGTAACCCGAGCAAGATCCTGTTTTGTAACTGTACCTGTTAGGAGTTAGGAGTTAAGGTTAGGGGTTGGGATCATGGGTTAGGCTGGGCCTGTCTACTGCAGGTATGGCTACGAAATAAGATCCGACCAAGCAGCATTCAGCTTACCTGTGGGTACCATACCTTAAGGTCACCTGCGAGGCTGTGGGCGAATCCTCATCTTGGAGATGACGAAGCTATGGTCAGCTCATCCGTCCCCACCCGGGATCGCCTTTGTCACCAGCACGTCCCGCTGGTCTCGCCTCCGGACGAGGACATAGTCCAGCCGGTGCCACTGACGCGACCGGGGGTGCATCCAAGTGGCCTTCTCTCGCATCGGAAGCCAGAAGAATGTGTTGGTCAGGAGGAGGCGGCGCTCTGCGCTGGTTCACAGGAGAGCAGCAAATTGTCATTGAAGCCGCCGAGACCACTAGGACCCAGCACTCCTCTCCAGACAGCATGGTCTGTGTCGATGTGGGCGTTGGCGTCACCAAGGCCAGTCAATTTATCCGCCTTCGGCACAGTCGTCTGGAGGGCGTGCAGGTCCTCGTAGAGTTTGTTCATTTCCTCGTCAGGTCTGGTCATTGGGGTGGGCAGTGGTGGGGGGGGGGGAGTGCGGATGTAGACGCTGCTGACGGTGGCCAAGGCTCATCTGACGATTGTTGATGGCCTGCGGCAGGCAGGGCAGTCCTCCCACGATGTCGTTCCAGATGACAAAGACGTTGCTTGTCGCCCTGCCTTAGGGGATGAGGGCTTGGAAGGGGAAGTTGGTGGGGGCAGCGGGAGGGGCGGGGGAAGGGGAAGTGGGATGGGGGAGGGAAAGGGGAGCAGAGTAACCATGTTTGGGGACACGCACGTATACCCTCACCTGGTTTAGCCTTTCTGTCGAGGCGGTTATCGGCGTGTGGCCCCAAATGTAGGCCTAGCCTTGAGGAACCAGAGGGTTTGGTGTCAGATAATGGACATTAGGTGTAGTTAACACCTGCAGGCAAGTGGGCGAACTACTACGGTCATCACGTGGACCAACCACTGGACACCTCTACACCCCACATCCAATGTCACTAAAAGGCATTACAGGCGAAGGCTAAAGACTATAACCTTCATTTTTGGTTTGCCGGTCATCGCAAGCCAGAATCTGGGCCATAGAAGTAAACGACCTGAGATATGACTCTGGTTCAGGTGTTCATCCATCGTTTGAATCGTACGTCCCACCATTTGGTCCACGGTTTCAAGTTCTTTCTGCTATGAACGGTGCTATTGAAGGTCATCTGAAGTGGTTCCACTGTCATAGTAACCACCGCGCGGAGCTGTTATTTCCCAGCCTTCAGACTAACCGACCCTGCAGGCCGTAAAATTACACCTCTGCTGAGTTAAGATGTTGTTCTGTCAAGTGGGTTCTTAACACTTTTATTGGATCAAAAATCATCCGCATCAGTTACTTTTAATTCCCGACCAAACTGGGAAGATATGGATGTCCTCATATGAGCCTCACGAAATGTGATAATCACGAACATCACCAGTAATCTCGAGCAGCTCGCTAATGAAAGCCGAATAATTCATCAGGTCTTCTCCTAACATGACTGTACTATTACTTGAAAGGGAATTTCACATATTTTTTTACGCTTTTGTAAATACACGCTTGCCTCTATGCTACACTTACGTGTTCCATCGAGGTAACTTGATCAGTGTAGATCCTAAAAATATTTACAAAGGTTGCTTAAGCTGGACAGTGAACTACCAGCCGAACTTCTCTAAGATGCTCTTGTTCACAACTTGGACCATTTATTTTTTATAGGTCCCGAGTATATTATACTACGCAAAAGTTCGGTCCTGAGCAACACAGGCTTCCCTTGAGTTTCGTCTTTATCACATAGATTTATTCTTCGACATTTCAACAGTACTCTTCAAACATTTTTCTGTATGTGCTTTTTTATTTTCCGTCTTGGACGACGCGTTGGAGGGGAGTTCTGAGATATTCCAGATTTCAATAAATTGCATGAAATATACAAAACTGGTGCAGCCGAACTGCTCTAGGTCTTCTGATTGTCAACATTAAAACCTTTATCATATGTAATGATGTGCGACATAATTGAAGATTGATGCAACACCCACTCAGCCTGTTTGGGAGACAAACTGTATTTGTTTCTGTTCTCCGCTGGGCGCCCCTGTCCTTCTTGATCCAGTTTTTGTAAGCAAAAATCACCGAATTCATGCTGATCTTGCACTTATACTCACATTTAACGTTACATTTGTTTTGATCAGCTAGCTCCCCTTCCCTAAAACTTTCAAAATATTAAGTTACCCTATTGACTTTGCGTAGCCATTTCCCACGGTTCCATCTCCCCCAACCGATCCAGTGTCTCCCGCAATCAACGGCCTTAACATGGATACCAGGGAACATCAGCTTCTAACTGGTAATTTAAGGACCATAGCAACACAAAACAGATTAAAATCTTTCTCTGAGTCCGTAAGCATCTAACTCGATTTCAGCTCTTCCTATTCAGCTGGTAACCATGAATTTTTCTCATGAGGTGTCTCTCACTGACAGTATTAAAGTGTCTGCTGAGATGAAAGACCGCAACCCCAACATCTTTAAAGGTATATTACCTTCCGATAACGATCTTCTTTAAAGTCAGGATATTCGTAGAACGTTTTCGGCAAAGGTTTGGTGGTATGGTGTCAACAAGGCGATCTGATTTCCACAAAAACCCAACTGGTCACTTAAGTGTATATGCGCTAAAACTGACTGAGACCCACTAATGAAGTCGGTCGATTTTCATGTCCCTGGGTAAGCCGAAATATTTGGAAACAGTGCTGGACGGAGTACCCACCACTGACTCAGCGGATTCGGACGCTTTTTTCCGACTAAGTCAGTAGCAAGATACTTCTGCCGTAGCGGATAGTGCTGTTCGAAAAGAAATTCGAGACGAAAAACTTTTTTGACCTTTAATTATTGCTGGGTTCAGCTGACAGCGACCAATACATCTTGACCCTTTTTCCTAAGTTAATCGATTGTTAGATACGATTAACACGTTTGGTATCCATCATAGGACATCCAGTACTAAAAATGGACATTTTTCATAAAGTCAAATTTCTGAAGGTTTCAGGTTTTTCATGGCCTGCGGTTGGCTCGTTTTTTCCAAGATCCTTCGAGCTTTATGGAGGGAGCTTCGGCTTTGGAATGGCCATTACTGCGGATGGAGTGCCATACTATGTTCATACAGTCGAGTAAGGTAAGTGATAAGGGTTTTATTTTCATTTATTTTATGCTGACAATCTGTAACCTAAGAAAACGCATACTACTCTTATATATATGCATATATAGGCCTGTTTTCTTGCTGGTAAATTTTGGGTTTTGGGGAGCCTTTGTTTAGGCGTCTCTGGCTCATTATTGCCGGATGCACAAAGACGGATGACCTTACTCATAATTTATTAACTTTAATACGGATATCTCAGCTCGTTTTCCCAATTCGGAAAATCAGTTCAAGATGCTCTTCTTGCGACTCATTCAGAACTTAAAGTTACTTCCGTTGTGACTGATTTAATGCAAGGCCAATAATATTTACTGCTTTAGATGAAAATGACTTTGTTTCTCTGGCCGTTTAGGGATGGTGGGCGGGAGAAATCTTTATCCTTAAGAAAAAATATCATTGACAGAATAGAGCGCAGATTTCGTAATGGAAATAAGCAACACTTTGACGTGATGAAAACTGAGGAATTCTCAGGATCTATTGTAGAGCAAACTGCTTTTGCTTCAAAATGAACTCCGTGATTTGGAAAGGCTAGCTTTGCGTGGTCGTCTGTTATAAACCATGAACATCTTTTCTGACCAGGTCACTGTTGTTAGTAGCCATTTGGTTTATTTTATGTATTTGCGTTACTGAAAACAACACTCCCTTACCATTTATCTAGAATGATGTATTAAGCACTCCATTTTGGGAGTGGCTTCTCGTCGTGAATAGGTAAGGGGAGTGTACACTCCTCCGCTACTATAAAATGGAGGTACACCTTCCCACCTGTTCGTTAACATGTGTTAACTGTCGCCTACCAGCATCTGTCAACAACTTGTCCCCAATTCCAACATCAGATGGCTGACCGGCTCGGACGGGAGCCTGGTGCATGCGATAGGGCATAGGGAGTGAGGTTGATCTAGCGCATTTTCCGCACTATCAACAATCAAACACGCCTTTAAACTATCAGAATGTATTCAACGTCGTGGCTTGGAAGGCTGCCAAAGGACTGCATAACTTAGGACGAAGAAACAGGCCACAATGGCTCCCTTTTAGTGCGACCTCCATGAAATTCCCATTCAGATGGAGTCCGGTCCACCCACTTCTTCCTTTTGTGAAAACCTGGTTCATCGGTACGAGGACCGATTGCGTGCGACATGCGTATGTGAGCTGTTTAGGCCTACCAGCCACCCCGCCCGACCCCACCCCCGGTTGTCCTGACGCAGTCTTATCACCGGGCCCAGGAGGGTGTGGTAGGAGAGGGTGCGACAGATACTGCACAAGTCACCGTTCCTGCACCTGCTATGCTATGGGGCACACAGTCGAACTATGGGGTGACAGTCGAACTGTCATGTTGTCACTAGTATCTTTAACATGCCTGACTTAAAAAATCATACCTTGCTCAATAAAAGACACACTAAGTTTGCTTTTTGTTGAGGTATCCTTGGGTTTCGTGACCGGTTGCTAAGTTTTCGTTCCCTGTCAGTGACCGATACCGACACCCAGATTTCGCAGAGGGCAAACAGTGGTCCCGGTCATAATGCCCTCATGTAGAGGTCTTCGTCACACCATTGGTTTCCTCGCCGCTCCCTTTTCAGTTTTCCTAGATAGTCTACTCCTCTCGACGGCATCACTTGGGTGCCCATTTACCGTAAACAAGTCTTTATGAGGATGGAGTTCTGCCCTTTTGTCTTCCATCCAGCCACTGCGTTTCTCGCTCCTCTAGTAGGGGTTCGGGACTCAGTTGAAATTGTATTCCGTTGTATAACAAGTCTGCAGTTTTTGCCTACGCCATTTTCCCACCAGTTTGCTTCTTTGGTCTTTTCTGTCCTACAACGTCGCTGTCACCGTCTTCCAGGAGCATTTGTTGTTTAATCATTTTTAAGCTTAAATAGTGGAATGCCAAGTTGAGGAAAACAAAAATTTTGATGCCTGTTTCTTTTCGCCTTCGGTCAAACTTCCAAAGCTGCCAAAGTCGTTCGTGACATTTGTGTTTTTTACATAGAGGACGCTATGCCTGAAATAATCGCACAAAATTTGGTCATCAAATTCAAAAATGACACGTTTTCAATCAAAGGACTCCCGCCCCGAACGACTTGTCCCGAAAATCATCATCTGAATGCACTTTTGAAAGAAGTGGCCGGCAAGACAGCATAGAATTGGCAGGAAAATGATACTGGCATTACCCGACCATCTTCATTTACTTGGCGTGGATGGGAAAAGTTCAAAAGTTTAGAGCATGGATGCCAAATGTTTTGCCAAAAAGAACGAGCGTCAGGACTTCGCCGTTGCTGCCGATCTGCTTGCACGGCAGAGACACTCGTGGGCACGTTAATATGAAGGCAAAAGGGAGTA